GGGCCATAGTGTCCTAGGGTTGATTGCTTCTAAATGCCTCGTTTTTTGTATGTGTGTGCCTCCTTCTTCACTTCTCATTCTAGGAGACCATTAGGTGCATGTTAGATGGCTGCTTGAAAGCTTTTAAGACCCCAGTCGCTACTCACCAAAATAGGATGTGGAGCAATGCTTTCATGTTTTTTTTTTGTGCCAATTGAGTCTGGTGTTCCCCAGTACTATGGTCCTGAGGTAGTAGCTCTATTGGATCTCTCTCCCATAGTGTCGGGATGTCTGTGAGGGATTACTCTGTGTCTGTCTTCTCTAGGTTAGATATATTGTAATGACAGATTATAATGAGGATAGCCTGGAATCAGTTTCAACAGTAACTGAGATCTGAGATGAAGGCTTCTTCTGTGGTGATGGTTCTGGGAATGGAGAGAAAGAAGTGGTGTCTGAGTTAACATTTGACCCCATGTAGTAACAACTCCATACATGACCCATTAAATGTTTCAAATTCACAGACATATTTCATGATTTTGTGTCAAGAATTAGGTCAGGCTCAGTTGGATGATTCTTCTCAGGGTATTTACTGAGATTAGTGGTGGCATTCAGCTGGCAGATGAGCTAATTGAGAAGGTTCAAGACAGTTCCACATGCATTTCTGGCATCTTAGCTGGGATGGCTGGAAGGCTGGGCAACTGTATAAACTGGAGTGCCTGTATGTGGCTTTTCCAGCATGACAGATTGAGAGTAGTTGAACTTTTATATGGCAGCTGGCCATCCCATAAATGGAATATTCCAAGTGAGCCAGGCATGGTCTTTCTGACCTGATCGTGGAAGTCTGATAGCATTGCTTCAGTCACATTCTTTTGGTTACAAGTGAGTCATAAGGCCAGTATAGACTCAAGAGGTAAAGAATAAGATTCTACCTTTTGATGAGGAAGTAGGAAGATCATATTGTAGAAGTCCATGTGGGATGGGACATAATTGTAGTGGCCATCATTAAAAGTACAGTTTACCACATGAACCATCTGAATGTGGGTGATGATGGTCATCAGGGTATCCAAGATCACTCCTGTGGTTTAATTCCATTTCCAGAAAAATGGGATTGATGTTAACAAAGCCAAGGAAACTGAAAGAGAGAATTTGTTAGATAAGGATGAATGAATTTTGGATGTTTTACCTGTCAGATGGTGATGGTATAGCCTGGTGGAAATATTCTAGTCAGTAGTTGAAGATGCCAAAACTTCACACTCACTGCCATTGAGTCGATTCCAACTCATAGCGACCCCTTTTGGATTTCCGAGGCAGAAAATCTTTATGGAAGTAGATTGCCCCAGCATCCTTCCACAGAGTGGTTAGTGGGTTTGAACTGCCAGCCTTCTGGTTAGCAGTCAAACGCCATAGGCACTATGCCACCAGAGCTCCTTAGTTGAAGATAGTTTGGGTGATATAACAGAAACAGAGAGGCAGACTTATGAGTCTTCTCCGTGAACATCCTCCTAGGATTGCAGTGTTTGGGAGAGAGTTAAAAGTAGGAAAGAACCAAAGGTTTTTGAACAACTGTAGTTGAATGTATTCTACATAAATGGAATGGGGAGGACTAGGTAAGGCCTGGTCTGGTGTCTGGCAACTCAGACATCTCCCAATCTACTTTAAAGATCTCCTCATGGCTGTCACTATTGGCTTTTAACCAATCTGTTATGAGTTCTCAGCTATTGCTTCCAAACCAAGTGGCTCTTGATCCCCTTGGAAACATTTAAAATTTGCCAAACAGATTATTTTATAGAG